ACTAGAAATGGAGAAAATTATGCTAATATTAATAAGAGTTATCATAAATTTTGACCTATGCTTGTAAAAGAAGACTTACTAAATGGTAAGGAAGGTCTGCAAATGTATTATTTGTTTACCTTACCATTTAAGAATACTATGAAATTGGGTCATCAACAAGATACAAAAGGAGCAATTTTCTAATCGCTCTAACTGAAATGAAAGCTAAAAAGTCCTAGATCTTATTTACAGGTATTAATGAGTGTATTCTTTCTTACATTTGAGCAATTTGCATACAAAGTGAACTGGCTTATACTTGAGGATATATTAACTGATACATGGGATTGATTTCTCTTGTCCATTATTTTCTTAATTTGGCAATGGCCAGGTTTCAAGATTTCTAGATTTAAGAGGTACAACTTATAATAGAAATATAACTTCCAGATTGATCCTGATGTGTTACGTTTTTGGACTACTACCAATTTTTAAATTATAATATTTACAAAAATGTTACTTCTTAAGACCTCATCATCACATTTATATGTACTGGACATAAATATGATAATACCTTTAGAGAATGTACCCATATGCCCATTTATATACACACATATGTGTCTATATTCAAACGTTGTGTGGGAAACGCTTTAAGGACACTTTGTTTGAAATATAAAATATTACCTAGACAACTTCAAGGCAACATCCATCAGCACACCTGCCTTTCCCAGAAGAATCAGGAGAATGTTCGTTTTAGTATTTGTCACAGACTGGCCCCTAAATCATTTTGAATACTCTGAAGTGGCTGAATATGCTGGCCTTGCAGAACTACCTTAATAAAAGCTAACAATGGGATGAAAGGCTGAGAAATCTGGCTAATAAGGTAGTTGTGGCATGACAGATATGCCATTCTCTGTGTGCTGCTGAATGCAGTTATTTGAGGTTCTTTTATTTCTTTAATTATATCAAATAGCTCAGCAGAGCATTAAGTTTTGTCTGTATAACCGATGACTGTGTAAACAACTTTGCAGGGTTATAATAGATCAGTTTAAAAAAGGTATTCAAACCGACTTTGCAGTAAGTCTATTCTAAGAAAAGCCTCTTGTCATGCTCTGGGGCTACCACATTTCAGGATCGAAATTTCTCTCCCACTCACTAAGTAGCTGATTGGTGTGAATCCCAGGCTAGTGGTTTGTAAAATGTACCTGATATATTGTCTAAGGAGCCAGCTGGCACACCATCAAGTTTCAGACTTGGTGCGTGAAGGTGCAGTTGCCCCTCGCTGCCTATTTTTTGACTTCACTGATTTTTTTGGCGTTTTAGTCTATGTGGTATGTTTGATCAGATAGCCCGGCTCAGTAAAAGTAGGCGGCCAGTGTAGCTCTGATTCAAAAATCTGGTTACGACCACATGTTTCTGAGACTCCTTTGCCGATGCTTTATTTTTTTCTTTTCTCACCTTTCTAGTTGTTTCATTCTTCTGATGAGGAGCAACCTTTAGCTGCCCTCAAAATCAATTGAGTGTTTTAATATATGTACACTAAATACAAGGTTGTTATTGCTATTTTGATTGTCACGTTGGCGTGTTTCTCTTCTATTCCAATATGAAGACATTTTAAATAAATTTTTTAATAACCCCAACATAAAAAATGATAAAATTTAAGAACGTGGCATATAGCATTACATCGAAACCAAAGAAACCCCATATTCTCTAAAGTCCTTTCTCAAGGAACGTCGTTGTGAAAAAGGAATTCGATTATATGCTGCAAGAAGTTCTCTACAGACTACCAAAAAGCAGCTGGCAAAAACTATTACATCTTGCTCAAAAAAAAAAAAAAAAAGTCCAGTAACTAGAGGCCATATGGCTTAACACCGCACCAGACTGGCACCCACTATAATTTCTAATGGACTGTACAAATATTTCGCACGGAAAAACGATTTTTTTCAACCATAGATTTGATAACAGCCTACCAACAGATTCCCATTCAGGAAGCTGATATTGCAAAGACCATCATCATAACGACGTTTTAATTTTTTTATATGATATTTGGCCTATGCATCCCTGTCCAAACCTTCCAAAGGTTTACGAACACAGCTAAACAGCCTAGGCTTTTTCTATTTCGGTGACATTATCATTGCTTCTGCAGATGCAGAAACACAAAAAACATCTTAAATTGGTCTTCAGAAGGCTCAGTAACTACAAACTGAGCTTAAACATTGCAAAATGCAAATTTGGCCTGAGAAGAGTTGAATTTTTAGGTTATCAAAAATCAACGGAAGGAATTAAACCTCTTCCATCGAAAGTTGATACAATTAAACTATATCTCAAAACAGAATCCTTCACAAGCTTACACAGATTTTTGGGAATGGTGAACTTTCACCATTGCCTCATACTAAACTGCAACAACCATTGATAATCTTGCTTAAGGGAGTAAAGAAAAATGGCAAAAAAACCTTTAATTTGGACCAAAGACACACAGAATATTTTTACTAATATCAAAGGCACATTGTGCAGCTCACCATAATGCGCAGATCACTGTAACAGATGCATCAGATTCTGCTGTAGGTGCTAAGATCCATCAGCTATATAACTATACTTTGTAACTTTTTGCCTAGCCAATGGAAATTAAAAAAAAAAAAAAAGGAAACAACCACTAAGCTTTTTCTCTCCATCTCTATCATCAATTCAATGAAAATACAATGCTTATGATAATCACTTGCAATCTACCTAGCAATCAAGCATTTTATTTAAACACATTCTGGAAAGATGATCATTTACTGTCCTCACAGACCATAAACCTTTGCCTTCCACCAGAATTTAGACAAAGCCTTTTCAAGACAAATCCAGCAGTTGAACTACATTGCTGAATTCACAGACAGACTACGAGATCTACAGTCATACGGTACATTTCTGGAGAAGAAAACATCATAGCAGACACACTGTCGAGAATTGAAACTATTGCTACTCCAGCTCCAATTGACTACAGAGTTATTGCAGCTTGATTGCCAAGAGAGTGAAGACCTCAAGAGTTTTAAATGAAATTCAATTTCATACAAATTTCTATTCCAGATAGCAGTAAGAAAATTTACTGGATTGTCTCCCCTAATTTTAACCAGCCGGATTCCTAATGAATTTCATGAAAGAATATTTCTCTCTACACATAACTTATTCCATTCAGGAATTCATTCAACAATGGAGGTGACAAAAGATTCATTTGGCCTGGCATAAACAAACACTGTCAACTGTGGACCAGAGCATGCTTGGCATGGTAATGAGCCCAAGTTCACAACCATACCCATGCTCCAGCTGAATTCAAATTCTAAGTGAGCATTTCAAGCTCCATAATATTGATATTAACCTTTATCATTTTGCCTAGGTTTTAGGTATCTGTTTACTATCATCTACAGGTTCACCTGGTGGATCGAAGCTGTTCCTTTGGAAGACCAGATTACATTGCAAATGTTGCGACTTGGATTTCAAGATTTCAAATACCAGAGAAAACAAAATTGGACCAAGGTTGACAGTTTGAAAAACAATTCCTCAAATACCTAGGTTTCAAAGCTAACATCACCAGAGCTTGTTCCCACAATATGATGGTTTAATAGAACACCAACATCAATCTTCGTAAAACAGCCTGAAATCCCAACTTCAAACGTCAAATACTTGGACTGATGTTGTCCACCTTTAATTCTTCTAGGCATTTGATTTGCTATTAAAGAAGATTTGCATTGTTCTTGTCCTGAAGCTGTGACAGCATACCAATCTGCTTTGCTTGAAAAAATTTTCAGTAAATTCCCAACTTCCATGCATTCAGATTTTATACAAAAATTGCACACAAATGTATAGAAAACAGCACATTTCACACATTCAAAATCTAGAACAAACATCTACAACCAGTCATGGGAAAAAAAACAATATTCATACACATGGACTTCGCAAATTGTTCATATGTATTCACCTTTAATAACATAATTTCATCTTCTCTTCAACCATCCTATTTTGGACCATATTTAGTTACACAATGTTTTGATAAATTTTCTGATGTGGTAGTTTCAGGTAAAATTAAAAGAATATCAATAGATAGACTAAAACCATGTTTCAAACTCAGAGATGAAGTAATGACGAGTTCTATTCGAAGCCAATACTCGAAAATCTCATGATACTTCCTATTAACAATGATCCTTCCGAAGACATTAACCCTCCAAACACAAGAACTGGTCGAAGAGTGAGTATACTTGTATATCTGAAAGACTGTAAGGTATAACACTATCACTGGAAAGGAGGTGTGTGGCGACATCATTTGCACTACTGAACCGCCATTTTTCAAACTCTTGGCATTGCAATTTTCTTTTTTCTAAAGTGGTAACAGTAAAAAGTTTGGAATAAAAATAAACATTAGAGTTTGGCTTAAAAGAAAGAAACTCATTATCATTTGCTTTACTCCTGCTCTCTTGTTAATAAAATTATTCAAAAACAATTTGTTGTCTATAGTAGGGTTTCTTAAACTTTTTTTCACTCATGACCCATTTTTATCACTGAGATATTTTTCGTGATCCTAGGACCCCCCCATAATATTTACAAAAATTTCGTGCAACCCCATAAGCATGGTACTAATTTGACATACGAGTGAGTGAAACTGTCAATTTTTTCATTTGTACTGTAATATACTACTGCAGTTTTAGGTCTTTAATTTCTAATTTTAAAACATACAATATGAAAATTTAAAATAAATACATCATATGCAAAGCAAGTAAAATGAATGTTTATATTATAAAAAAAATGCATTGAAACATTTTCTTTCTTTCTTTCTTTTTTTTTTTTTTTTTGTCTGTATTGTCTTATCTATTTTCAGATACACTGTGTAAAAATATTTGGTAATTGTAAAGTTATAATAAGTTAGAGAAATATCAAACAATTTTTTTATTCTTGTACTTATTTTATCCATAAATTAATATCAGATCATAATGAAACTATTTCAATACATGGGAAATGAGAACTATTACTAAACCACAGGAAATTTTACATACCTGTAACATGGCTTGAAAAATAGCTTTAAAAGCTGGTTGTTTATTGTTTAAGAACACACCTCTGTTTCCATGAATGATTGCTATGCCATTTTTCTCTGCAGTTTTACAAACATTTGAGTACATACAATGGTCAGGGCGAAAATTCCATTCACATGGAAATAAATACAGTTTTTCTGAAAGAAGAAAATTTCAATATAATTTAAGCAAGGAAATTAAACAAACAAGATTTAAATACTTATAATGAAATAAGAGATAAATGATTTAATAGCTGCAAGGCAGATATGTGTCAACTTGGAAAATGAAAAGTACAGAAAATATAAATATCACCAATAATTATTCATAATGCATAACTGCAAGCATAAATTACTTTCAATAATTTAATGTTTTCCCTAAGGACGGAATTCAAGAAAAAACAAATAAATGGGGATTATACATACTGTTAAGTCTTTGCTTTAGTAACACAAACAGGCTAATAACAATGTACTGTTGACAAAAAAGGGGGAAATGGATAAAGCTTTAAAATAACAAAGTAGCAAGAAAAACATGACACAAATGAAGAAGCCCTTTCTATTTTTCAGTAGCAAATGGAAATTCGTTGATTTTATACATATAATGTACACACATTTTCTAACAAATGTAAACCAACTGAACTGAACAACTATTCTAGATAAGTAAGAAAACTATCTAGATATCTTTTTTAAACTATAAATTGCTTTCAGACTAAAAAATATGCATAAATTAATGTAAGCGTAGACAAGCATATTCATGACTAGTTGGAAATGCTTGAAAAGGGTATAAATAAGCAACTTACATCTAATATCGCGTTCACATTATTCTAAAACTCAATATTCAAATCAAATAATAAAGAAATGTCACTTACCTGTCAGACGCAGCATTGATTCTCACATTCTGTCATTTTATCCAAATTTTATTGACGACACAAATAAATACCATTTACAATAAAGAAACACATAAATTTAGTTTGACTTTCGCAATTTAATGTTCTTTCGTTTTACATCTCTCTCAGTCAGCAATGTTATAAACTACTCAAAAGAATTCAGGCGCACACAGTGCCATCTGGTGCAATACAGTTTCTACACAGAGAAACTATACTCACCAATAAAAAGCTATGTTTGAACATGGTAACAAGAGTACACTTATGACTAGTTAGGAAGGAGATAATAAAAGGGCTCATGGCAGCCACAGTGATTCATTACAAGAGTATTCAGATATTAATACATTATACACAGTTCAAAATATTCATTTAGAAATCTAAAACATTTTCATAACTGAAATTTCCCAACCTGAAAACATTCTCGATATTGACAGAATCTCAAAGAAAGCTCTAGATTTCTAACATGAACATTACAGCTCTTTGAGATGCCCTTCAGTATCCAAATCATTTTTAAGTCAGTTCCACGTGGTTGCCACAGAGTTGCAATATTAATCCTCGCTGCTTTTTGCGAGGATACCCACCAGCAGAATACAAGTGGATATTATTTTTTCCCTTATCAGCATACAAATGATTTATAGTATAATATTATCACAAATGAGGCTCCTCTTGAAGATTTTAAACACTAAGGAAGTGGACATGCTATGCATGGTCTTCTGTATTGCTTAGGCAAGCACATTTCAGGGAGTACTTTTATTACTACATAAACATTAAATTTTATTGCCATACAAATTACATGAACATTAAACTCATTGTCAGCCACAGAAACAGTGATTGAAATAGCCATCATCAAAAACCTCAATGAATTTAGCATAAATTCTGACTCCCAATCAGCATTTTAATGTAATTTTAGCGCGAAATACTTTTTAAGAAACCCCTCATTCTGTCCAATAGTTTCTGACACAAACTTTCCTCTTGCTCTATTTTTAAACCATAAAACTAAAATTTCAGGGATCAAAGGACATGGTGCCTATGTAGTAATGATCAGGAAGATAAAATAGCCAAAGAAGCAGCTCTGATTAAAGATAGTACTGAAATCATCCTACCACGGCCCTGTTCAAATTTCAAATGCCAACTAAAACAATTTGCTTCAAATCATGGAATAATGTACACAGAGAAGACACATACATAATTTAATTCCAAATGTAAGCACTTGAATCCTTCATTAAATTACTATATAACAGGAAACAGCTCCTTCCTCACACATTTCTAAGCAAGAAATATGACAAACTCCAACATTTGTATATCTGGGGAGCAGAGCACTCCTGATCATTACACTTTCTCATTAACCCTTTGCAGCACCTAAAAAGTTATCTCTGTACACACAGAAAAACTGAATGAAAGGGATTTATAGGTTATTCTGAATCTTCTCCATTTATACTAGATGGCAGCACAACATCAACCTGTCCATATATTTTAGTCATGTTTAGTTTTTAAAACCCCACATTTTTCAAAGAAATATTCCAGATTTTTTTAGGATATAAAAGGAATTCTTTGGAAAGAAATGTCTATGTTATTTTCTTGACTATATGCTAATCTCATTATTCTATGTTATTTTCTTGACTAATCTCATTATTCTATATTAGTTTTAAATTTTTACCTTGAAAACTTGCCTAAACTCGAATGGTGAACAAAAGGTGTACCCAGAGTGGGATCACTGAGACACTAGGACCAGACCAACAACTGTATTTTTGTTTCACTGCAGCTCTCCAGTGGGCTCATTCTCAATAGAAACGTGGACGCACATCTGTGTTAAATTAATGTTTTTTTTTGGGGGGGGAGGTTTGACTATCAACTAAGAAATTGTTGGGGTGATTTTCTGAAGGCCAGGGGTAATTTTATTAAGCTAGCTGTTTGACTTTTCACTAGAGCAGTTCTCTTTTGCTTTCATTCAAAGAAGTTTTGTTAGCTCTACATTTTGACAGTTTTGAGTTGTAGAGGTTTATTTAATTTTATTTTATAGTTTAATCGTAGGCACTTTACTCTATTACATGCTTCTCAACAATAAAAATTATAATAAATCTTTCGAAAAGAGTGCTTGCTTCATTCATTCAGTGAGCCTGCTCTGGGCACATCCACAGAATTAAAATTGTAAGTGCTATCTTTACAAAATTTTAGCTGTATACTCCTCTAGGCTTGATAAAACTGCCTACCATTTTTTTTTGTCAAAATTCCAACTTTAAAAGGTAGCGTGCCGGAAAGGGTTCATCAGATAAAATTGGCATTTCAAAGGTTTCTAATTAAAGATATACAACAATATCCTAAGTTTAAAAGCCCACCAGCGGCCGAGCGGTAAAGACGCTGAACACTGGTATTTCGGTCCGTGGTTCGAATCCCGCGAACGGGCTGGTTGCATGGGCGTTTTTGTGGTTTTCCCCATGTGTAACGTGTATACGAGCCAGTTTCCCTTAGAAAGTCCTCCACGAAAGGCATCCCTCCTCTTAGGCAGATAGCCCTAGTGTGCTTTGCCATAATTCAATACACCAATACACCTAAGTTTAAAAAAAAAAAAAATAGGAAACAACATTCTTCCTATGGAAAATAGGAAACAACACTCTTCCACCACCCAGATCTTTGCCAACCGTAAGGTACTAAATGCTTCATAAATTTAATGAACTTCTTCATCCTGTAATTATATTTAAAATGATTTCACTTATAATCCGTAATAACCTACCATTTGTAGTAGATTTGTCAAATTGTGTTGGTTTCTTTCAAAATTATTTTCTACATTTCCAATTTAATGACTAGCTTTATAATATTTTGCATAGAAGTCATGGTCTTCATAGAATTAATAATTCATCTTATGATTTACAAACACTAAAAATGTGTATTTGATATATATGAAATGAACATATGCTGGCCATGAGGTCACATTCTTTCTCAACTTTGTAACATCAAAACAATTTTTTTTAAAAAGCTGATAAGTTCTCTTAAGCTTTTGAAGTCTCAAACTTTTAACTCACAGAGGTTTTGATCTTATTGTCAAATGATTTGACTCTGTGCACAATTATCGAGCATTATGAATACAGTTCATTATAACACTGTGTTATCAATATTCGTTCTATTAATTGCTTGTTTGCTCTTTTTTGCTACATCAAAACAGATGTTCTAAAATTAATTTGTGAATCTCAAATCGTAGTGAAATTGTTTAGTAATCCCATTATATCCTAAAACATTATTTTTAATAAATGCTGGATGTGGGATGTATGGTAGGCCTGCACAATACACCATAACAGGTAAATTCTAGGTCAATGATTCTCTTGTGAACAAATTGTATTGTAATCCCATTATGCCCTAAAGCAGGGATTCTCAACCGGTGGTACGCGAGAGAAAAATAGGTGGTAAGCAAAGAAGCAAAGTATTTTTAACTATTAAATTCCAAAAATTAAAATCCCATCCTGATTGAGTGTTTTCTCTAACACTCGTAAATTTATACGATCTGAACTTGGTTCAAGAATGGTTGCTGGAAGTAGTAGTGCTTTGTAGTGGTGATACTAAAGGTTTTCAATTTTTGGTTAGATGGTATGCATTAGTCAAAGGGTTGAGAACCGCTGCCCTAAAGCATTATTTTTAATAAATGCTGGATGTGGGATATATGGTAGGTTTGCAGAATGCACTATAGCAAGTAAACTCTGGATCAATGATTCTCAAACTTTTTTGGTCAATGCATCAATTTCACCACTGCTAGATGATCATTCATCCCCTTCATTTCTAGAACTCAAAAAGTACATATAAAATATTATTTGAATTTAGATAATTTTCAAATGTGTTTTATAAAATAAACAAGAAACAGTATAGAAAATGTTCATAAATATCAAAACTTGAATAAAAGTAACTTTTTATATTCATAAACCAAAAGAAAATACTTAACAGGTAAATAAAAAGCTGATCACATTCACCCCCCACCCCGAGTTGAGAACCCACATCTCGATCTTTCGAGAAGCTACAGATGCTCAATTTTTTTCAGCAGAACTCAACCTTTTCTTTATGAGCTCTTTTAAGGCTTGCAAATTTGGGTAATTTTTCAGAGATAGTTAATATGGGATGGTATTACCAGATGGACTACAGCACATCGATTGCATATCAGACTTTTACTTGTACCTGTACCTATATATACAGTTGCAATTAAGAGAACAATATTTATATACTTTATACAAAAAGACAAATTATCAATATCTACCACATAGGAAGATCATAATCACATAACTTTATGTGCAAAAA